CAGACACACTCATACACTCACATGCACACACACTCATACAATCACTCACAGACACACAGACAGTCACTCACTCACAAACACACACTGTCACTCACAGACACACACCGAAGCACACAGTCACTCACAGACACACACACACACACTGTCACTCACAGACACACGCTCAGTCACTCAGACACACACACTCATACAATCACTCACTCACACACACTCAGTCACTCAGACACACACACACTGTCACTCACAGACACACGCTCAGTCACTCAGACACACACATGCACACACACTCATACAATCACATGCACACACACACACTGTCACTCACAGACACACACAGAGACGCACACAGTCATTCATGGACACACACACTGTCACTCACAGACACACACACAGACACACGCTCAGTCACTCAGACACACACAGACACACGCTCAGTCACTCACAGACACACACACTGTCACTCACAGACACACACACTGTCACTCACAGACACACACACTGTCACTCACAGACACACACACACACACTGTCACTCACAGACACACATCACATACATTCACTAATAATTTTATAAATAAACATTTTCCACCCAGCCTCCCTACCTGGAGAGCTGGTGTGGATGCTGGATCGGTCCCTGAGGGCTGGGGCTGCTGAGAGGCGCGCGGCAGTGCTGTGATCAGGCGCGCGAGGGAGCTCTAATCTCCATCCTCTGCTCCCTCGCGGGCTGCCTACTGATGACGTCATATTCCGGCTCCCGCGGCATCAGTAGGCAGCGCGCGAGGGAGCAGAGGGTGGAGATTAGAGCTCCCTCGCGCGCCTGATCACAGCACTGCCGCGCGCTGCACCGGGGGTCGAGATGGTGGCTGAAGTATTGCGCCCCCAGTGCCCGTGCGCCCTAAGGCGGCCGCCTGTGCCGCCTTATGGACGCGCCGGCCCTGATCATATGTATAGGATTTCAGCTTATTTTAAAAGTTACAGGTCACAAAATACAAGGACTAAAATAAAATTTTAATGTTGGTATGTTTGTCTTGTAGGTTTAGTAGCAATCACAGAAAGAAAAATTGCCACACAAAAGTATATATTTATATAAAGTAGACATCACAGGCTATTTACCTAAGGTTAGTTTGACACTTTTTACGTAGCCATTTCATCGCCAATCTCTGCTAAATATTGGAATAAAATTGTGTTTTTTCTTTATTTTGGCATATACACCTATAACAAGGTTTTTGTAATGTGTATTTCGTAAAGCTGATGTGTGCTATTCCTGCACAGAACCCCATATTGTGTTCAGTTACATCTGCTGAGTATAATGATACCCCTATTGTATACCTTTGGCACTATTCTGTAAAGATACAATGCCATATAAGAGACAAGACTAGTTCAGTTTCTATAGTTAAAATTTTCGTAGATGGATTTGACAGGTCTATTTCTCATTTAGCGTGTGTCTGCTCAAATAACCCCACAAAGGGCTCGCATTTGATAAAGCAGACACCCCAGGGTATCTGGTGTACATTGTGCCTTAACTTGTTTCCATTTTTTTCACCAATTTATGTCAATGTTTGTGGTGGGGGGGAATTGAATTTTTACATATATGTTTTTATATGCATTTTTGCTGAGTATTTCTTACACTTGATATGTACCACTGTCATAAATACTTTTTTTAGAAGTGTGAAATTTTGAGGGTTTTGATGCGTTTGTGTCCCACTTTGGAGCACGTGAGCAGGCTACGTATTCCAGCTACACCATAAAGGCATACCTTTTCTTAAAGAAGACATCCAAGGGTATTTCAAAAGGCATATTTTGAACCTTAGTGTAGGATAATTTTTCTGCTAGCTTGTACCAAGTGTGGTGGTAATAAGCATTTTTTCTTCCTTTTTGACACACAAAGTGAGTTTGCACAATATATTTTGCAAACCTTCTGCGTGCTACAACTGTATAATACTACATATGTTGCTAAGCTATGTCATCTGAGTACAGCAATACCTCCGTATTTACCTTTGCCAGGTGTTTAAGACACAGCCATTCATTTTTTTTCAAACTTTGAAGTTTTACACTGTGTCCGTGTTGCATTTTGGTGTAGTCTAGCTGGTTGGTTATTCAAACCTCCCCACAAACACATACTATTTATTAAAGAATGCACCCTGGGGTAATTCAAAAGGCATATTTTGAACCTTAGCGTGGGATAATTTTTTCTCTAGTTTGTTCCAGGTGTAGTGGTAATGAGCATTTTTAAATGTATATCTTTTACATTTTAAAACTTTTTTTACTTTTTAAAACTCGTTTTTAAAAACTTTTTTTGCTTTTACATTTTTTAAAACGTTTTTAAACTTTCTTAAAACTTTTTTTACACATTTGACATTTTTCTAAACTTTTTTTACCGTTAATCCCTAACTAGCAGTAAGCAGCACTAACCGTAAATTCCCCAATTTCCCATAACTCCCATCCACCCCAGCTAGCAAAATATTTCATTTTAAAATATATAAATTAATTAATGAAATAAATTGAACCCATGAGGGTTTAAAAAAAATAAAAGTTAACCCTAAGGAGTTAAAAAAAAGAATCAGATTACAGTATAATACTGTGATCTGTATTTTGGTCACTGTAGTTAGTAATCAACTGGCAGGGAAGGGGTTGAATTTTATTAGGACTGGGTAAAGGGGGGTGGGATTTTTTTAACTTTTTTAAAATGTTATAAAAAAATGTTTTTTTACTTTTTTAAAACTTTTTTTAACGTTAACCCCTAGCTAGCCTAACACCAATTCTCCACTAACTTCAAAACACCCCAGCTAGCTAAATATATAATTTTAATATATTTAAATGAATGAATAAAAAAAAATCAGATCACAGTAAAATGTAGTCCCTGCCAATTGATCACTGTAGTCAGTGATTAATTGGCAGGGAAGGGGCTCATTTTTATTTCAAATGGGTAAAAGGGGGTGGGATTTTAAACTAACTTTATTTTTTTTTTTTCACACAGAATGTGAAAGAGCAGGGAGGCGGATAAGAAGTCCATGCAGCACATATGCTCGCTCTGACAGCCTGTCAGCACATGTGCTCGCTCTGACCGGTGCTCCTGGTATGACTGGAGGAGCGTTAATCCCGCAATCGCGGCAATTGCAGCGATCTGGGGTTAGCTTTAGTGCATGACTGACCCAGTCCATCATTCGGCGTTAAGTGCTTCCCCGGGTCCGTCATTCGTCATTAAGGGGTTAAGCAGTGATATAAACACTTATGAATGACAGATGGCAAATAAAGAGACTTTTCTTTAAATATATATGTTTAATGCTACACTTATTATCATAAAAACGCAAAGCAACAAAACAACACAATTATAAGCAATTTTCTACACCATATAGCATTTTAAGTTAACAAGTCAATTCAGTCTAAGGGTCACCATTACACCCATTTTCATCTACAAGCTTATTTGTAGAGTTGAGCGAACCCGGACTGTAAAGTTCGGGTTTGTACCGAACATTAAGTTTTTTGCACCCCAGACCCGAACACGGACATATTACTGTATGTTCTGGTTGGAGTTCGGTGTTCGGCGATTTAATGGCGCGTTTTGAAAGGCTTCAGGGCAGCAAATCAACAAGCGTTTGACTCGTGTGCCCTTAGAAGCCATCACAGCCATGCCTACTAATGGCATGGCTGTGATTGGCCAGTGCAGCATGTGACCCAGCCTATATATATATAAGCTGGAGTTGCGTAGCGCCGCACACACTTGAGCTCTTATTAATGTAGGGAGAGGATGCTGCCGCTTTCAGGGACAGATTAGGAAAGAATTCTGCTAACTAGTACATTAGTAGGGTGTACTTCATATCTGAGAGTCAAATAGACCTGTCAAAAACTGCTGTCACATTGCAGTTTTAAAACTTAAATTTTTTGGGTTGCTAAAAAGTACATTAGTGGGGTGAACTTCATATCTGAGAGTCAAATAGAAGCGTCAGATACTGCGGTTACAGCGCAGTTGTAAAAATTCTAATTGTTTTGGTGCTAATCTGCTAAATAGTAAATTTGGGGCATGCTCTTCATATCTGAGAGTCAAATAGAGGCGTCAAATACTGCACTTACAGTGCAATTGTAAAAATTCTAATTGTTTTGGTGCTAAACTGCTAAATAGTAAATTTGGGGCGTGCTCTTCCTATCTGAGAGTCAAATAAAAGCGTCAAATAGTGCGCTTACAGCGCAATTGTAAACATTTTTATTTTCAGGGTGCTAAGCTTCTAAATAGTAAAATTGGGGTGTGCTCTTCATATCTGACAGTCAAACAGAAGCGTCAAATAGTGCGCTTACAGCTGTAACCGCAGTATTTAGCAGATTAGCACCCAGAAAATAAGAATGTTTACAATTGTGCTGTAAGTGCAGTATTTGACGCTTCTATTTGACTCTCAGATATGAAGTGCAGGCCCAAATTTACTATTTAGCACTTTAGCACCAAAACAATTAGAATTTTTACAACTGCATTGTAACCGCAGTATTTGATGCTTCTAATTGTTTTGGTTCTAAACTGCTAAATAGTACATTTGGGCACTGCTCTTCATATCTGAGAGTCAAATAGAAGCGTCAAATAGTGCGGTTACAGCGCAATTGTAAACATTCTTATTTTCTGGGTGCTAATCTGCTTAATAGTAAATTTGGGGCATGCTCTTCATATCTGAGAGTCAAATAGAAGCGTCAAATACTGCACTTACAGCGCAATTGTAAAAATTCTAATTGTTTTGGTGCTAAACTGCTAAATAGTAAATTTGGGGCGTGCTCTTCATATCTGAGAGTCAAATAGAAGCGTCAAATAATGTGGTTACAGCGCAATTGTAAACATTCTTATTTTCTGGGTGCTGTGATAAGGTGAATGGGGTGGTCTGTGAGGGAGTTTATATTTCGACTGAAATGTTCAGAGAGGCATATGATGTTTAACCCCAGGTAGAGTGTGTGTTTCTGTGTGTATATAACCGAAATTAATATTTAGTTATGGGCCCCTGGGGTGGAGCATTTGGAGAGCAGGATGGACCAGTGCTCCACTCCCCAGTTTAGCGGTTTTCTTGGTAGACATAGATCCAGGCCAGGGTTTTTGGACTGTCTCCAACCCACTGCTCAGCTGCAGGTAATCAGCTGCAGCAGTGGGAATAAACCCCTCCCTGCTAGGCAGGTAAGGGGAAAATGTGTGTTTTCTCTCTTGAAGAGCTGGAACCAGCAGGCTGACTAAACACTGGAGTGCTGAGAGCTGACAAAGACACTAGGTTGGTGAAACCAATATTATTTTGTTATAGTTTAACCCCTGAGAGATAGGGAATCTGATGTTAGTTAGTGCTCAGATGAGCTAGGCTTTTGTTTATAGGGATTTTGCTACATTATTGTTTTTTTTTTCCATTTACTGCTGTCTCCTGTGTGGATTTACAAATAAAGTGCTTGGAATTAAGTTACTTTTAAAGATTGCGCATGTTTGTACCTAAAAGGACCGTGCTAACTGCAGACAAGGATCACAATATGGTGGAGAATGCGGGCTTTATAGCACATTGAGGGTCTGTGGGTGTGCCAGTCATTCGGTAGTCTGCTTGAGGACTCTTATTTTTGCAGACTTGTTAAGCAAATAAATAGCAAAGCACCTTTTAATACTGTTATCTGCATAGCGCTAAAATGAAGGAACTGGTGAAAGCTCTGGTACAGGCAACTGCTGTACAACAAGAAACAAATCGTCTACTGGTTACACAGGTTGAGAACCTGAAAGAAGCCCAGCAGATGGATAGAGCTGCCCTTACTGAGGTGTTGCAGAGAATGATATTGCCATCTGCAGGGAGCCCCCCTGGGGAAAGGGGATCCCGTATCCGTGCCACTGACTTGCTGCATAAGATGACACAGGTAGATGATGTGGAGGCTTATCTCACCACTTTCGAGAGGGTTGCTGCCTGGGAAAGATGGCCATTTGACCAGTGGGTGGGGCTTCTAGCTCCATGCCTGCGTGGGGAGTGCCAAAAAGCCTATAAAGACCTACCTTCCGACCAGACCCAGGATTGCAAGCAACTTAAAGCTGAAATTCTAAAGCGCATAGGCGTAATACCAGCCATTAGAGCCCAAAGGTTTCATAATTAGGCATATGACATGAGTAAACCTACCAGAGCCCAGATGTATGGATTGCTCAGGCTCGCTCAGAAGTGGCTGGAGCCAGAGCACAACTCTGCTACCAAGATAGTGGAGATGGTTGTTATGGACTGTTTTCTCAGACACCTGCCAACAGGACTGCGACAATGGGTCTGCCAAGGGGACCCTCAGGATCCAGAAGCAATGATGTGCCTGATTGAGAGGTATTTGATCGCCAAGGAGCCATACAGTATTGATCCTCATCAGACCGGCTAACAACCGGATAAGCGGGAAAGTGGGAAACAAAGGACAAAACTTGTACTGAACCTTGGACCATATGACCGGGGTGGCATAAGGTCCCCACCAGCTCCATTATGGCTACAAAACCAAGCTGAGGGACAACTTTAAATGCCAGGAGCCTGGACATTTTGCACGTAACTGTCCAGAGAATGAAGAGCCCATGCAGTGTGATGTAGGAACAAGGGCTCTGCATAGGACTGTATTGACTTGCTCAAAGATGTGTGTGGTGACTAGTGCTATTAATGCAACGCATTTAATAATGGTGAGAGTGGAAGGAAAGAATGTACAAGCTCTGATTGATTCAGGGAGTGCTAAAAAGTGTTCTGCTCAAGCCAGGGAAATTAGGTACCAGACAAGTGATTGATATTGTGTGTATACATGGTGACACCCACACATACCTCACGGCAGAGGTTGAGTTTGGCAGGTTAAATGCTCTGTAGGGGTAGTGCCCCTGTTACCATATGATGTGGTATTAGGGAGGGACTTTCCCCATTTCTGCCACCTATGGGAAAAGTGCTCTGCTCATGCGAAAATGCGTTCTGAGGAGCTACCCGAGGTAGATAATATTTTTCCTTTTTCCGATATAGAATGTGAATTGGGTACCAAGCAAGAGACACCCTTGGTGTGCCTGGGTAATGAGGTAGAACCTCCCCATACTGAAGACCCTATAGAAGAAGTGGAGTTTCAGGATCTCAGAGTCCCCCCTGGTAACTTCCGAGCAGCCCACTGGGAAATATGTCCTTGACAGCAGCAAGAGAGAATGTGCAAATAGTGGAGGGTACAAGGGTGGACCCTGACAAGCCCTTAAGCTTTCCTTATTTCATGGTGAAAAATAATCTGCTGTATCGAGTAGAGAAGAAAGGGGAAGTAGTACCTCTATGGAATGCCACCTCTAAAAGTGTTGCAAGGCAATTACTGATGATGTCTAGCAGGATGGGTATACCAAAGGAAATTCTCACAGATCAGGGAACCCCTTTTATGTAAACAATCATGCGTGATTTGTGCAAATTGCTCAGAATAAAGCAATTGAAAACCTCATTATACCATCCGCAAACTGATGGATTAGTGGAGAGGTTTAATAAAACTCTAAAGGCTATGCTGCAGAAGGTGATAGACAAGGACAGAAAAACTACCCTACCTGATGTTTTCTATTAGAGAAGTCCCGCAAGCTTCCACAGGGTTTTCACCTTTCGAGTTAATGTATGGTAGGCATCCAAGATGCATACTGGATGTTGCCATGGAAACATGGGAACAAGAGCATACCCCCCATTATAGTCTTATAGAGCATGTAGCTCAAATGCAAGAGTGAATCGAAGCAGTAATTCCCATAGTTAGGGAAAACATGGAAAAGGCTCAGAGAGCCCAACAAGCAAGCTATAGCCGGAACGCAAGGCTACGGGTATTCAAATCAGGTGACAGGGTTCTAGTTCTCATTCCCACAGAAGAAAGAAAATTCTTAGCCAGGTAGCAAGGGCCATATGAAGTCACTGAGCGGATCAGTGACGTAAACTATAAAGTAAGACAGCCATGCAGACGGAAGCCAGAACAGACATATCATATAAATTTATTGAAGCCATGGGTAGAACGAGAGGTTTTCATCTTGGCCAGAGATAAACCTACTCAAGCCACTCATGAGCAGGGTCCAGAGGCAGGGCCGGACTGGCCCACCGGGATACCGGGAAATTTCCCAGTGGGCCGTCGGCACCTGGGGCCGGGCAGGCAGCTGGCTCACCTGCGGCCGCAGAGGTAGCTGGCTGTTCTGTCTCTGCTCCCCCTTCCCAGTGCACTGCTTAAGACCGGGGCCGGAATATGACAGTGCTGGGGAGGGGGAGCAGAGACAGAACAGCCAGCTCCCTCTGCGGCCGCCAAAAGAGCTCCCTCTGCGGCCGTCAGAAGAGCCAGCTCCCCCATGCGGCCGCCATCAGAGCTCCCCATGCCAGCACACAGGTAGAAGTCTGTTTGTGTCATGGTGTGTGTCTGTCATGGTATGTGTGTGTGTTTTTACTCACCTTTTTTTTTTACCCCACGTCATGCTGGTCTCTCCTCGACTGGCCCTGCCTCTACGGCTGAGATCATCAAGCTTGATGATCTCAGCCAATCCGCACTGACACAGGAAGCACCTCTAGTGACCGTCTGAGTGTCTGTCACTAGGAAGCAATGTAAACACTGCCTTTTCTCTAAAAAGTCCATATTTACATTGAAAAGCCTGCAGGGACAGGCTATAGACACCAGAGCCACTACATTAAGCTGTGTGTGTGTGTGTGTGCCTGCTAGTGAGTGGGCTTGCTTGTGTGTGTGTGCGTGTGTGTGTGTGTGTGTGTGTGTGTTTGTGTATATATATATCTCTATCTATCTATATCTCAATCATCTAGGGTGGCAAGACATAGCCTTACATATTACATGCAACAATATATGGCACAATGACTTATGGGGCTGGCATAGATTTTTTTTTTTTCAGAGCTGCTTTGGAATCCCCAGTCCGGGCCTGTCCAGAGGTGCATGTCGCTGATACTCTTGCCCCCCATCAGAAACAGGAAGTCAGGGAGTTTGTGTCTAAAAATAGGGATGTGTTTTCCCCAATACCAGGAAAAACACGTATAATCAAGCATGATATCCTAACTGAACCTGGGAAGAAGATCAGTCTGAAGCCCTACAGGATACCTGAGCTTGGACCTCACCAAGGGTACTGGCAGGTACCCCTGACAGAAAAATCAAAAGAGAAAACCGTGTTTTCTACCTCTGATGGGTTGTTCCAATATAAAGTACTACCATTTGGGTTGCATGGTGCCCCAGCCACGTTTCAGCGTATGATGGATAAGATACTTCATCCCCACAGGGAGTATGCAGCTGCCTACCTGGATGATGTGGTGATTCAAAGTGCGGACTGGGAAACCCACTTGATGAAGGTTCAGGCAGTTGTGGATAGTATAAGGGCTGCTGGTTTGACAGTTAACCCTGCTAGGTGTTCTTTAGGGCTAGAAGAAGCAAAATAGGTTACACTATCAGGCGGGGGCTCCTTAAACCACAAGAGAGCAAGGTAGCGGCCATGACCAGTTGGCCACGTCTTGTAAATAAAAAGCAAGACCGTGCCTCCAGTTCCTGCACATTGTCTCCCACCCGGTCCCCTGCTGAAAGCTCTGAGTTGGCACCTGCAGCCCATGGCCATCTGTCTTTCACCTCACCCCCTTGCAAATCAGCCAAGCAGTCTGAGCCACAAGTCATGCAGCAGTCTCTTATGCTTTTTGATGACTCTGCTGGCGGGGTTTCCGTGGGCCATCCACCTAGCCCTGCCCCAGAAGTGGAAGAGATTGAGTGCACTGATGCACAACCACTTATGTGTCAGGATGTGGACATGCAAGGACCACCGCAGCACGTCTCTGATGATGACGAAACACAGGTGCCAACTGCTGTGGCTTTCGGCAGTGTGCAGACCAGCAAGGAGGGCAGGGTTGAGGAATGGGTGGAAGATGATGTGGAGGATGATGAGGTCCTAGACCCCACATGGAAAGAAGGTCATGCAAGTGACGTGTTCAGTTTGGAGGAAGAGGCGGTGGTCACACAGAGGCACCAGCACAGCATAAGAGGGAGCAGGGTGCAAAAGCAGAGCAGCCGTCCCCTAGACGGTACGCCTGCTACTGCCCACCACACCCAGGGACCGAGCACACCAAAGCCAGCTCCAAGGAGTTCCCTGGCGTGGCAGTTCTTCAGACAATGTGCTGACGACAAGACACGAGTGGTTTGCACGGTGTGCAGTCAGTACCTGAAGCATAAACATGCTAAACCTGAGCACAACCTGCATGACCAGGCATCTATATGCAAAGCACGAGATGCAGTGGAGTAAGCA